CACTGAGCAAACATGTATGGTATAATTACTATAGGCCAAGACTGTACCTTCCCCAGGGATCTTAAGATTTCAAGGAATACAGAACTGTCTTCTCGCAGTAAATATGTAGAGCCATGCTTTAACCTCCCTAAGAGACCTCAGAGCACAACCTGATGCTGACACCAGGGAAAAAATTAATGTATAGAAGGTTTTTTAAACAAAGCGAACAGGTCTCACATGATCAGAATAATTGTGGCCCAGAGTGAAATTCAACCAGTAACTATTGCTTGATTGAAAACAAAGCAGTCACATTGGAGGAAATTCCAGAGACTAATAAGCTACAAAATAACTATTCCTAAAAAAAATTGTACAGGAAAATATGGTGTTGCATATACAAAATATGATGATTTTCTACTACCACTTTATTTTTATATAATGCACAACACATTCTTCCAAGCAATTTAGGTGTAAAAGCTCATTAGTCCATTGACTCTAGTTTTTCATTACATCAAAATAATCAGTTAGAGACTTCTTAAAAATAATTTGCTTCAGCTAGCAGTAAAACTGGCTAATGTCTGGTTAGCTAAAAGATCCCTCACCTTTTAGAAATTTCTATACTTTGTTACTATCTCATCATGAACAGCCTACATGGACACTTCTGAGACAGCATTTCAACTCTAGTTTTTATATATTGACAATAAAAAATGGAAAAATTTGATAGTTTCAAGTATAAATAAAACTTTGCAAACTTCATTTTGTGTTAATGCTACAGTCATTTCAAAGGAAAAACTGGATACCAATACAGCATTTTTCTCAAATAGTCATGTGTTCAGAATGCCTGGCAGCCTGATGGCATTCAACACTGATGTAAAAATTACCATCTTAATACTGTCAGTCTGAAGTACCAAGCAGAGAAAATGTGAATCCTTAGAAGATAATCTTGGTCCAGCATTCTTGAATCCAGCAAATGTCTTTTAGATAGGAAAAGAAAGGATGCAATTTTTTCTTTAGAAGCTTTGTGGATCAGCATTTTGTTACCATCAAATTAAGAGATCTTGTCCCATTTCACATGGCCAGATGGCTGCATTGTTAGATGCTGGGAAAAGAAGAAGTTGTGTGTTTCTTTTTTTTAATTTTTTGTAAAAATAAACCATAAGTATACATTTGGTCATATTAAGCCCTCTGCCTAGATTTTAAAGGCATTTTGACACCCTCTCTTGAATTAACAATTGCTAAGCAGAATCTCTATTAAAATGATTTTCTTACTGGACTTTAACTGACTTCCAGGGAGGTGGGAATCTTCAGCAGAGGAAGTCGAAGGTGTCACAGGAGTCTGCCCCAAGTGGGCACATGACGCACAGACCTTTCTTGCCTCTTGTATTTGACTCTTTCAACAGCCTAAAATGTCGGCTAAAATGAAAACACTGAAACACAGAACTGTCTGTGGCCTGGCCTTGATGCTGACTATCAAGTTCCTTTCACATGTTTTGGACTCAATGCAAAAGTTGAACTTTAAAATAAAAATACTGATGCAGTAGTACTCTTTTTATCCGACTTGTCTTGCAGATGTGATTGCCTTGTAGAACTTACTGTGAATTACAAACCACTTAAAAAATTACATCATTTGGTTCTGTTTCACTGGGTTTTGAAGTCTGATTCTTTCTCATAAAGCCTTTTACAAAACTGTATTGTATAAGTAGCCAATAAAATTTCACAGCAGAAGTGTAGTTTTACAAACTTCCACACTAAATTCTGTTTATGAAACAGGAGGTAAAAATAGAAGAAACAATCCAGATTCATTGATTAAAATAACCCATAATACCAAATGGAGAAAATAATGTATAGCTGATGCGCAGAGTTCTGCTATACAGAGACAATTTTAAAGATTATTTTATTAGATTATGCAGATAAGAAAATCAGAAAAAGTGACACCATTTTCTCAGTGATATTTATTCTTCCAGTGTTTTAATTTAAAATCATAGTAAACACAGGAGAGTAAGATTCAGCATCTGAAGAGAGAAGTTAGAGAGCTCAAGAATGAACTTGTGGAGCTCCAGGGAAGGAAGGGCATGGCTTCTCTGCTTCTGTCTCCAACTTGACCCCATCTCCAGCCCCAGCCTCAAACCAGAGCCTAACGCAGGTCCACTGAGCCAGAGGTGGGAGCCAGCCATGGGGAGGTCAAACATTCAGTTTCAACAGTGACATATTTAACTAAAGGTATTTTTCCATTCAGACTCTCATTGCATCTTGTTTTTACTTACTGGAGTGCCATGGGCATTTGTAAAGTCCATTCCAAGAGAAACTGAGTGGTGTTGTGCTTATATGAAACGCATGTATGTGCTCAGGGTCACCTTCACATATTTGGAAGTGACTGTAGGATTGGTTTCCAGGTATATTCCTTTCACAGTGAGCGGCAACTAGCAGAATTGCTTGTGACACAAAGGTGTCAGGCCAAGCATACTATATAAGCATGGCCTACATTGCCCAATACCAAATCTATGTAGGGAGCGGAGAGGAAATGAGATATATTTGCCAGGAGCTACTTTATGTATTATTCTTCTCATCATAAAATAAGTGAAATTTAAATACAAGGTTATCAACAATGCCCAGTCAGCCTCAAATCCCTGCTGAAGGGAGCTTATTTGTTATTGAAGCACTGAAATTTATAAATGTATCATGCATTAGTTTTCTTTTTTCATGGAGTCACACATGAAAATAAACTGTATATTGCAGAACCAAGATCAGTCAGTGTAGAAGCAATTAAATGTTTACTTACAGGACACAAGAATAAAATGATCCCACAAAGAGTGAGTGTGTCTCTGACAACTCATATATGAAAGAAATGTTTGTTTTCCACTAAATCTGACAGTAAACTAAAAAAAAAAAAATGTACAAGATATTGCTAATGAAATTCCGTTTAGCCAACAAAATTCAATCAAACATATTGAAAGAAGACCGAATGATCTTTCTCTTCTCTGGAAAGAAAATGATATTATAAAATTTCTATCTCATGAAAGGTGATCAAAATGTAAGCAACCAAAACTACATGGAGAAAGGGTTTTATGGAGGTATAACTGGGCAGTTGATTAGGTAAAATATTATCCTTCTAGAAGTTGTCATTGCTTGTGGTATTTTAAGCTTTTCAAAATTGAGTATCCTTGTGATTTCTGTCTTTGAAAAAATATTCATTTTTATATCTAATTAAAATTATATAGCTCCTTTTCTTAAAGAAGGTTCCCAGTAAACACTCTGGGTTGTCCTACACCACTGGGACACAGGTAGAGGTGCCTTCCAGGTATGATTAACAGGTCGATGTGTATCTGGCTTTGTTTCTATCTTAGCCACCCGAGCAACTGTAAAAGATTTCTATCAGCTACTAGACCGATTTCATATGGTATTCAAGAAGTAAGAAAATTATGATTGTAGATGCCCTTGCTTGGTCTGGGATCTGTTTTGCCCTCTTCCACTGGGCTATGGGATAACAAACTTTTGATACCCAAGGACAAGGTAATGGACCTGCCCTCAAGATGAGTGGAAAATTGCCTCAGCAATTCAATAATTGCAGTCTTTAGATGCATATTGATGAAAGTCCTTGAGTATTAATGGGTATTGAACTAGCTTTCCAAAGGCAAAATTGCAATTATTGCATGAATCTTTTCAAACTGCTCTAGATCATGAACTGCCTCTAACCTCCACCTGCTGTTGTGCTTCTGCTCAATTCCTCCCTTCTGCTCATTTCAAAGGAAAAGAATCTGGGAAGGAGAGTAAAGGCAGCAATCTCTGCCTGATCCCTCTTTCCCTGATGCCCAGCAGATTATCACAACATGCCAACGCTATTCTAGAGATGCACCATGGGATCTGTGAGCCAGTGGTATTTGATAAAACCCCTATTATTTGGGAATAAAGCAGGAATGATATTCATACTACAGCAATGAGTTAATTGTTCTACTACTCAACAGCTTGCTCAAAATCATTCAATCATTTTTCTTTTTGTTTATTTGCTTTGTTTTGTCTTTTTATCTCAAGTAGAAAAGAGCTATTGTTTCCCTCTGTCTGAGAAACAAAAACCTCAGACAGCTAATTGAAATCAGAAACCAGGTTTGGTTGTACACATCTGTAATCCCAGCACTTGCGAGACTGAGGTAGGAGGATCATTGCAAGTTCAAGACTAGCCTGGGCTACAAAGTGAACTCAAGGCCAGCCTGAGCTATGTAGTGAAACCCTGTCACAAAAGGATGAGAAAGAGAGAGGGGGGAGAGAGAGAGACAGAGAGAGAGAGAGAGAGAGAGAGAGAGAGAGAGAGAGAGAGAGAGAGAGGTCCCATTTATCTGCAAGTATGTAATAAGACCAAACATCTAAATAAATGTCCTAATAATTTATGCCCTCTGTTTCATATGATCAAAATAACTGCATAAAGATCTTTGGATGATTTTAGCACGATAAAAAATTCATTTGTATTATCTCACCTAACATAATCCTTCCTGGACCTTGATTCTAGCACTTTCTTTCTGCAAGCCAGGAACAAAATCAGCCTCTTCTTATTTTTTGATGTGTTGCTTTTTCTCTCTCAGCTTGAAGTATTACTGCTGCTCTCCAACCTGTTAGGGACATCTCCCTCTTTTCCTAAAATCTTTTAAGGAAATACTTTGTTTCTTTGAAACATTTCCTTAAAATTTTTCTCTTCAGATCCACCTGTAGGCCCAAGATAGTCTTTATCTATGTGATGCACCTGGAATTTAAATCACAATAATTTATTATTGTTTGAACCTATTTAATATTGTACCTGTAGTTTTACAACTCACTTAAATATTTATCTGAGATGACCAACAAAGAAGCAATCTGTACAGGATTTTAAGTCACAATGCACTGTCTGCACAGAGGAGTATGAGGAGCAGGCCTGAAGTAAGAAGAACGAGACGGACAGAAGTGCCTGTTGTATTCAGAGTTTGGAGCATTCTGCTTTCTTCTTAAAGGACTCATAGGTTTGCATTTAGCTGACTCTTTGCTGCTCTCTCTTGCAGGTCTGCTTTGTGAACCTGGATGTGAATAAGGATGCGTGTAGCACAGAGCACCTGCAGCAGGTAACTCGAACTGCAGCTTCCAGGAGGTTGGGAGGAGGGTTCATCTACAAACAATGCTGTTTTAGAAGGGGTCCTTCCATTGGGGGCTTCATCACACCCGTTTCCCTGCCCTGTCCCTACTACTACCCCATGCAGCTTACTCTTCTTACATTTGTTAAACTTTCTTCTCCATATGGGCAGCATAGTCCAACCAGGCGCTTTCTCTTACTCTCCAGCACTTTCTTTTTTGTGGTCAAACTCAGGCATTTAACTCAGTGTGCCTGCCAGGCAAGCACTTAGTCCACTGACCTATCTCCCCAGCCTTTTTTTTTTTTCATTTTATATATTTACTACAGGGTCTCACTACACAGCTCATAGTTATCCTCCTGTTTTCAGCCTCCTTAGCACTGGGATTACACGCATACGCCTCCATGCCTGCACTCTGTTGCCAATTCAGGTGCCCTTGGGGAAGGGCCAACATGGCATGTGGGACTGGGGATCAAACCCCAGTACTTGTGCTTGCCAAAGCAGGCACTTAATCCACTGAGCCATCTCGCCGGCCCTCACCAATATTTTCTGTAGCTATTCTCTTCTTCCATTACTCTCAGACACTCCATTTGGCATGACTTTTCAAAGTGTTTAAAGTCCCAGTTTCTGGCAGCTAACAATTTGCTGCTTTTCAAGTTACCTCCTTCTTGTTGCTTTCATGAAATTTTACCTCAACCCTTGCCTGTCTTGTCCTGCACTCATCTGGGCTATAACTTATTTCTTCAGCCATGCAGGAGCTAATTTCCCCAAGCTCCCCCAAGGTTGTGAGTGAACTGATACACAAGCTTGACAACATGTGAGTGCTTGAAGGCCCTGCTAGTTCTTTGGCAACAAAGCCTACTGTACAAGGGGAAAAATTACTTCCATGCCCAAATCTGATAAGCTTTGAACTCACCATTTGGTGTAATACTGTTTATTGTATCACAGCTTGTCATTTGCAGCTCGATGGCCACAGAACAACAGACTGATTGTATAATAACTCAGCACCCAATTATTCTGTAACCAGTGGGTGCAGTTATTCACCTGCTCCTATACTTGTTCTTGGCCATGAGACACCATTGCTTCTAAAACCCAGTTGTTTTCACAGACAATCCCTTAGAAGTTTTCATGAAGCTCCAAATACTACCCTCTATGTAGACCCACAAAGATTTTTAACAGTAAATTGTACATACTATTTTGTTTGGTAGAATTACTGTGGTAATTCTATCAGGAGACAGCAGGGAGGACGAATGCAGGTTGGCATTGTAAGAACTCTGGGTTGGAAGAGTTTATGTGGGTTGCTTGAGTCATCTCCTGGCACAGCTTTCAGCAGGCACATTGGCACTGACTTGTGCAAATCACTCATCTTTGGACCTTAGGCTGCTCGAGTATAAAATGGAAGTAATCAGGGTATGCAATCCAAATAGGGCTGTTGTGAAAATTAAATTCAGTAAGGTATAGCATATATGCAGTCCTTATCATCGTACTCAGTACATAGTCAAAGTAAAATCTATGTTAGTCATTCATTACTATTGTTGCTGTTTTGACTATTATAATAGGAGATTATTAGGAGACAGTTCTCTAAGTCAAAGTCTTGAAGGAAAAACATTTCCAAAACACTGTTTTCATCTGTGGTATGACAGTACTTGTCAAATGAAAAATTTAGAGCTAGAGAATTTTTAAAGTTTAAATTTTCTATTCTGGTTTTAACTCTTGTGATTGAATTTTATGCAACTCCTTCCTGGTCTTAGTAGATGAAGTTATCTGTAGTGTGAGCAAATCATCTTCACATGTGAAATAGTGCAGGAGTAGGACTTTAGAAGTGAAAAGAAATCATTTTAGCTAATGAGGATTCTTGCTCTACAGAAACTGGTCAATGTCTCACCAGATCTGCCAAAACTCATCAGCTCCATGAATGTCCAACAGCCAAAGGAAAATGAAATTGTCCTCCTAAGTGGCTTAGCGTCTGGAAATCTCCAGGCAGATTTTCAGGTTTCACAGGTAAGATATTTAAGTTCTCTGTCATTTATCGCTTAAGGAGAAATTATCTATCATCAGCTCAGCTCAGACTGATAGAAGCCCAAAGCAGGTGCTGCCTACAATGTAACAATCATTGGTACCTTTGGATTGGATAATACCCTTCATTTATATTTTTCACAAACATTGCTACTCTGAGTTTGGGAGAGTTTCCCTTGTATCAATACCAAATTTCTATTGTCTTCTCAAATTCATGGCTGTCCATTGCACTTGAGGTATAGCAAAGATATTGGGCATTAGTTATTTAGCTTGGTTTTCTACAAATCTAGTAAGTAGTCAAAACAGAATTGTCTTCTCTTTTAAAAACTGCACTCAAATTTTGATTTATACCATATGACTCCAGAATTCTACTGATGTCTAAATATTATTGACTTCTTAAGAAATATCAAACTAGCAAAGCTAATAATTCAAGAACAGCTGCTCAGGGAAGCAAAAGGAATTTCCTGGGCCCAAAGAACAAAATTCTCAGAAGAAAAAAATTCTCCTCAAAATGAAAGAACTAAAATGCTGCTATCATTACCCAGTACATTAATGTTTATTGACACTCTATAAATATATCACCTTATTTGAAGTAATGTAGGCAAAATTATCAAGTAATTTTCAAAGGAAATACACATATGCATTATAATTTTCTGATGAAGACATCAATCTAATAATGATTTTCTTAATGAGGAGTCCAGGCTTCTGAAAGGAAAACAGAGAAGAGGATTTTAAATGTCCTCTACATTATGCAAAGCCAGAATGATCAGACATAATACTCAAACCTGAATCTTCTCTCCTAGCTAAAAGCTTCTACCCCACCAGGTAGAAGGTTTTTGCTTCATCCACAGTAGAGCTCTTCAACATGACACGAAACTTCAACCAGCCCTGCTAAGTAAGAGAATAATTCTCATGGAAGCCAAAACATGGAAGTCTTTTGTTCTTTCCATAGGAAGTCAAGACAGAAAACAAAGAATACCCCACCCCATGTTGGCCCAAGCAGCTCTCTCCACACTGGTGTAGTTGTTTTCAGTAATACCCAAGAATTCTCTCTATAACTTACACAAACTTGCATCTTGCTAGCCAGAAAAGCAATATAACTGAGTAGAGATCATTTTGGATTTGAAGTCAAAGAATATAGATCTTTCTGAACCCATTTGTGATATCAAGATAGTAACAATTTCTTTTTCTGCAGGATTAATTTGATGAATGAAATGCAATGATGAAAAGTACATTGTTTAAAACAAACTATAAGGACAGGCCAAATAACTCAGCTGATTAAAGTGCCTGCAAACAGGCTCAGGGGCTGGGCATTTGATTCCCTGGGCCTGCTGTGCCAGTGTGCCCCCAGGGCACACTGAGATGGCAATTGAGACTGGGTGTGGTGGTGTGCTCCTGTAATCCCAGCACTTGGGAGGCTGTAAACAGGAGAATCACTACGAGTTTGATCTACTAGTGAGACCCTTCACTTAAAAATAAACAAACAAACAAAAAAAACTATAGTTTTTGTTACAAAGGAAGAAAGAAGGGTAAAGTTTAAGCACAACATAGTACAAAAAATGCAATTCAAACTGTTCCCTCTTCAAAAATATTGTTCTGGAAGAATGTGTATTTCTAAATTTTAAGTTTTATAATAATGATTTTTGTAAACATTGTGATAAATCAATTAACATATGAGGTTTTGTCACTAGGTATTTGTGTTTCCCTAATTTTGTAGCTATTGCCAAGACTATGTACTATAAATTTTACATGAATCTCACATAATTTTTGGGTTTTAACCAAACTGTATGCTATGTCCTTAAAATATAGCATACAATAGACTTTGTTTCTATTTTCTTTATAGTATCCATATTTTTTTTACTAAAGTGTCTCTGCTTGATACAATATTTTTACTAGCTTTTAGCAAGTACAGGTATTACTGGAAGATTCAACTTCCTTCTAATTTTTCTATGAAAATTGATACTGACATTAATTGGACCTGACCCTGAGCTGAACTTCCTACACACTGATTAACCCCAGTTAGGATTTTTAATTAAACATGGCAGAAAACTGGCTTAAATACAAAGAGAATGCATTGCCTCCTTAACCAAACAGATCTAGGGTGAAGATTAGGTACAGGGATTGGAACAATGTCATAGGACATAGATTTTCTCTTTTCTGCCTACTCTTCGCTAGTTCCTTTATAAACAAGCTCTCGCCCCAATGAGCCCCTTCTTGATGGCCCCCTCAAATGTTTCACTAAGTCCCCCTGACTCTCATGTGTCCTCTGATCATTTTGTAGCCAATTATGATGGTTTGAAGAACGCATTGTTCATTTCAGGCAGCCTTTAGTCACATGGTTACCCATGGAACTGGAGATAAATGAACTCTACGTGAATGACTCTGAACTAGTATCCTACCGGGGAGGTGAGAGAACAGAAGAGCAAATGATGCTGGGTCACACAGAAACAAAGATGTTCTTTGAGCTTGGGTGGGTCAACTTGCCAAGAGCTCATTAAGGACCATCCATTTAAACAGGTGCTCAAAGCCAGGGACCAAGGCACAGGCACAAGCCTGTAGTCTCTCATAGCTGGAGGACTGAGGCAAGAAGACTGAGCCTAAAAGTTCAAGACAAGAGGGTGAAATTCTGTCTCAGAGCAAGCATAAAAACAAAAAGGCATTCATAATTTTCCACAGCTTCTTGGTCTGAGATCTATCACCATATGTAAGCTACATCACTGGGGAACATTTCAAATGTTTTACAAAAAGGATCTCCATCCCTTACTATGTGCCACTTTACTTTTTTGCAGTCTTCCAGGGCTGACAAATCATTCTGTAGGATTGTAACCCAGATGTTTTAATAAATCAGCGATGTAGGGGAAGCACTTCAATGTTGAACCCTACCCCAGCCAACTATAGCCAGTTACTTGTTTAACGATATTCTCAGTTTGACTGTTTTATCGGATTGAAGTTGGTGTCATATTTACTTATAAATATGGACAGAAAGATTTGCACAGGCAACTTGAGCTTGGTCAGTCCAGAAAAGTCTGAATTGGGCATGGGAGGAGTGTGAATACCAACCCCATGGAGAAAAGGAACAAGCCATTTTGCACCTTCAACCCAGGAAATTATAATATCAAAGAAATAATGTGCTAATCGGGTGAACTAATTATTCAGAAGGCCAGACAACATGTTATTTCCTTTCTCTTAATTTTGATCTTCTATGTTATTAAGTGGAGATTTTTTAAAAAATCTTAGAATTTTTAGTAATGATAATGATAATTTCATAAAATACCATGAAAGCAACTGATGAGTACAAATGACCATCCAAATTCAAAGTGCTTTTTGTTTTCAAAAGAAAGGGGGCTGGGAAGATGGCTCAGTAGAATAAATGCTTCCCCGGCAAGTGCAAGGGTCTGAGTTCAATTCCCAGTTCCATTAAAAAAAAAATTTAAAGAAAGATGAAGTAGACAGAAAACGATAACAAAACTGAAATTAGGTATCAGAGTGGAGTGTTAGGAGCTCCAAGAGTATGATCTAGTTACTAATCGGCCACATTTCTTCGGCCAAAATAAGTACAATAATATTGCAGGAATGACGTATATAATTTATCTTTTATGCCTCTTAAGAACCTTTTACTTTGTGGTAATTTTCTCTTTGTTTATTCACATCTTTGTGTTTTCAGCTTGGTAAAGTATTCCCTTGATTTTTATATCATTACAGTACCTTATATAATTAAATAATACAATTGGTAGAATGTAAAAAATTTGTAGCATCTCTCAACCACTCATATATTAATGCAATAAATATTCATTTGTAGACCTAGAAAATGTTAAACACTTGTTTAAATGCTAGGAAGACAGGGACAAAAAGTCATTTTATTTTCACTGGGTTTACACTCCAGTGTTCTCTTCAGCATTATGTCCTGTGGGTACTACTAAATGCATGCAACCCTGCCTACACCTGTCCACATACATACATCTCAAAAGACCAGTGAATAAATACCAGTGAACCACACAAGAGGAGCTGCCTTAGTGGAGTCCTCAGATAAACTCTAAAGTTCCTAAGGAAAAAATAATTACCAGGGGCCCTGCCCATTAGCTCAGTTATTCAAGTGCCTGCTTAAGCAAAGCAGTCAGGCTCAGAATTCTCTGGTTTGATCCCCAGATCCTCATGCCTTACCAGACCTACCCTTAAGGCATCCTGAGAGGACCAAAAAAAAAAAAAAGAAAAGAAAAAAATCCTTGTGGAAAAAATAATAACCACAAAGACTATATGACAGCTAGGAATAGACTTAGGAAAATACAAAGCCAAAAATACAAATAAAATCAGAGTTTTTTTTTCCTCTAAAAGCAAATTTTCATAAACATATTAATGCAACAGTAGGATCTACTCCTACAGTGTCCCAGGAGATGAAGGCATGGTTTATTGAGCATGCATGAATTTGCAGAGGCCCAGGGAAGCCCTGTATCCTGCCAACGTGCATGGCTGTTCTTTGGACACTGAATCTCTGTAGTCTAGATCAGCACTCCATGGACAGAACTAGAATTAGAGTTCAGAAAACCTAAACTGCAAAGCGGGCCATCCTACTTTATGTTTGCATAACTTCGGAAAGGCTGGTTAGTCTTTCTGCATCTCTGTTCTTTCCCCTGTAAAAAAGCAATAGTACTACCAACCTCATAAATGGAATGTTCACACTAAAGGTAATAAGTTACACTAAACACCCAGGAAATCACCGTCCTACTTCTATATCAACACCTGCCATTGTCCTAGAGGCTATGCTGTTTGATCTTCATTGAGTTAAGACTCCCAGGATGTTTATTTACTTCCACAACACTATTTTTTGTGTATAGTTTTGTTTTTGCAATGCTGGGAGTTAAGTATAAGGTCATTACACTGAAGTACTTTCTTAGCATTTTTAATTTTTTTTTTATCTTGAGACAGGTTCTTAACAAGTTGCAAAAGTGCCCAGACTGAGTTCAAACTTGTAAGCCCAGGTTCTGGGATTACAGACCTGTGCCACCATGCATAGCTATAGGCAGTATTTGAAAAGGCTGCCCTAATATCAAAGGTGCATAACAGTGCACATGGAGTGAAACCCTTTCTCTAAGT